ATATTAATTCAAAACGGAAAGGCCAAAATCCTTCGAACCCAAACCTGTCCGATGCCCATCGTTCAAACTTGAAGCACGCCGAAGCTTAAACATCAAACTGAATAATTACGAAGTCAATCGATTCGAAGCGCAAAAAGTTAAACGGCTGTCAATTGTTTCACCATTGAAGTTCGAAGAGTTCGGGTACCGGGGTTAAAAGTTTCGCCAGCGTCCGGCGGCACATCGGCTGCGCGAAAGTAAAATTTCCCGCGAAGCGGCGCGTCCGGGCCACGTAAAATTTCGCCCCGATTCCATGAAAATTGCACAAACACGGGGGCTCGCGATAGAATCCAATTTGCCCGACCCTCGGCCCTCGAAACCAAACCCTTTCGCGGGCGGGGGAGGGGAATCGAATCGCCGGGCGAACAATGGGGGGATGCAAACAGGGAAGAAAACAAGGGAAATAGCGGCGCGGCGCGGCGCGGCGCGCACGGCGATAATATATGACCCGACAAACAATATTATAAGCTAATTTCCCGGAGTCGCGAGCAATACGTCGATCGGCGATGGATTAATTTCATTGGGAGCGACGCAATAGGTTCGGGGCACAGGGGTAATATCAATTCAACGTCGCGGATGGCGCGCCAGTTTCACGGCATTGTAAACAGAACAGGCTGGATTTCGATCACCGTCACGAATTCGTCGCTCAGGGAATCGTTTAAGTTTCTCATCACCCCGTTCTCGGCGCGATTTACGCTTTAAACTGCCGCCCAAGCGAAATTTCATTCGGATTATCGGGGAAAAAGGAGAATCGCTGGATTGAATCTTAATCGGATAATATTGTATCCGCTAATGAATAGTTGCATAAGATTATTGTTTATCCGGCATCGCTGGTTTTCCATTAGTCTAGTATCGAAATGATAATCATGGTAATTAAGTATTATTATAGTGAGTAGTATTATAGAGAATTAAATCTTAATCGGATAATATTGTATCCGCTGAATAGTTGCATAGGGTTGCCTGTTCGGTGTTGCTAGTCTTGTATTAGTTTAGAGAATGATAATCGTGATAATTAACTAATTGCGTACTGGTAACGAGAAATCTCGTTTTTTTATGAAGACACTTAGCTGTGCAACTTTGCTATTTACCACAGCATTTGAGAAAATATTAAATTTGATTCGAATTGATTATCTATTTAAAATATATTACATAACAATATATCTGAATTTTTGCATGTATATTCATATAAGTTGATCTCATTAAAAATTGCCATCCACACGATTCAGCTTTCTGAAAATTGGTCAGTACACAATGTATTAAGTGTTCTGGAGTAAAATTGATGATTTAGAGTGGGTGATATTATATATATTTCTGACAAGTGCAAGTGCAAGAGATAAATTGATTCTTTGAATCATTCCGTGTACGAATAGAGTGAAATTCCCTTACACAGCATTTTCCCGAGTTCATTTGCAAAAGTTCTATAGTATAACTGTACAACGAATGTGTCGTCTACTCGCGGCGCGATCATCGATACGAGAAAAGTTGCTCGCGACAACGATGCTCGCGCTGCGTCACGCTTCCGCGTGGATGCAAATCCGCAGGGCGGCGTTTTAGAAGGGCTCGTTTAAATTCATGAAACAGCACATTTCTTGGACAATCAACATTGCTAATTTGTCCCGTGAGATCCTACTGGCCGATTCCCGCGGAATGACCGAGCCGTTTAGCGCAGTGCTTGAAGATCAGTTGATAAACCGCTTCGATAATCCGTAAGCGACGGGTTCGGTCTCAAATTCGAAGGATTCCGAATTGTTCCATTAATCAATAATATATCATAAACTTTCATACAATGTCAAAATTCAACGTTCAACGATGCTACCGTACGTACAATGCTGGTAATAATCAAAAGATGTGAAATCTTCATTATCAACGAGTAAACTCTACTTCCATTATACTTTCTCACGATAATGAATATACAAGCGACATTTATTCTACCTCTTATTTAGAAACGATACATCCAACAGAAATTGAAAAACGTATTTCAGATATCCTGAAACAATATACTCCGAGGAAAGGAGTTCCGAAGAAAAAATTCATCCGGAGGTCCCCGTCCTAGGGAACAATTCCATTTCCATTTTGACGCACAGTCCTGCATCTTTAAATCCCGTGGAATATTCAGTTGGGACCATCGAGAGAAGTCGTGTTTGCCCATTGTTTAGCGTCACTGGGCTGATTCCCGACCACTCTATATTAATGGAACACGCGGAAACACCATTTTTGGGGCAGGGTGCCGCGATAGAGGCGCGCTACCGCAATCTTCATTTTCTTACGCGATAGTTCCGATTCCCACGCGGCATAATGCATAACCGGAGAACCGTTCAGAGGAGGAGCTGATGGACTGACTGCCAACGCGTTGTCCCGATACCCGATATCGAACTTCTTCCTTTTAATGGATACGCCGATACGCGTAGCTGCGCTACCTTCGGCACACTTTTATGGCAATCAAACGAAGCCGTAAAACCTTCTTCCAGTCAACACGTGACCCATACAGATCTGGTTTCTCGACGTGACCACCGTTACAACGTCTCGTGGAATCTTACGACCTCGGCGAACATCAATTTCTGTTTATCGCGTTTAAGGCGCGAGCGAGCGTGTATCGTCTTATTACTGTCTGTATAATAGAAGTGGAGCGCGGATCTTTCTGCGTTTATGTTTTATGAAGATTAGACGGGTTGGTAATATTGGGAACGTTAATGGAATTTCATTACTTCCAGTGTTATATGTTATAAATCTGTTGAAACGATTAGTACTTTAAATGGAATTGATTTCATTTTATTTGACCCTCTGCACTCGAGAGGTGACTCTCGGTCATTGCTTGATTTAATGTAGAACTATAAAATTTGATGTTTAACGCTAGATTTATGGATGTTTAGCACTTTATTCTATTGTTGCTAGAAAACTACGTGTTATATAAATCGCGAAAATTGTAGTTTAACCCTTTGAACTCTGTAGGCTCCAATATTGCACCAGTTATAATATTAAATATTTCAACGAATCAAAGAAGCTACCCTAAAATTATTCGATTTTCCACACATCCAAATTTTGTACTCAGGAGGAAAATAAAAGATCGAAGGAATGTTATATTTCTCATTTTCATTAGAGATACCATAAAAACCAGTTGCAATTGCTGATAAATTACAGAACCATCTGGAGTGCTAAGGATTAAAAACTAGAGTGTTGCAATACGTATTCAAATAATTGAACGAAGCAAAATCAACGAAAGCTGTTACTAAATGATGTTTGAAAAATTGAGTATCCGTCAAATTGACGGGTTCCGTGAATCTAGTTAATATTGAACTGTGTATAATGCATCGGTATGTAAAATATTAAGGTAAACAGCTTTGTTTCTCAATTTACTTGTGTGGGAATGGATGTATTTCAGTGTGAGAATGGATATATTGATGAGTGATGAATGCGTGTGCAATAGATGAATGACGGGACTGTATGTGTGAGCGCGTTTTCAATGAACGTTCGAAACATTGGAATATTCTAGACTACATTGATTATCTCTATATTGATTTTTATGTTAATAATACTCGTTTTCCGTGAATCTAGAATATTCCAAATATACGCGAAGTTAATGCAAGGTAATGAAAGAATGTTCTAGAAACTGTGCGAGTGAAACAAGAACATCTATGTATAAATAGTGCGTGAGTTGTTTGATTTGTGGATTGTTTCATTGTGAGTTGTCACGAAATAATTATACTGTTTCAAATAAAATTCTCTTTCTCCTACACTTGTAATTTCTTTCTGAGTTAAGTTAACCCTCTTGTTGATTTACTTCATTTTGCACTCGAAGTGGTGCATAAAATTAAATAATCAGTTAACTTAAACTTTCATACACTCAGGCGAGAAAGTTCAATGTCATTGCAACTTGAAAGTTACAAAATATATTCATTCGATGAAATTATTGAAACTATTGAATGGATTGTTAATTCGTGTTCATACGTGGATATTTAATTTCGTACTGCATAGATTTCGTTATAATCATGAACAAAAATTCGGCCCATAAAGGGTTAATATCGTCTTCGTCCAGTTCAGAAAATGTTAAGTGTTTCGTTAGAAATAAAGTTGAGAGTTAACTCCAGTCTGGAAATTCTGAAGATCGGGGAACTGCGATAGCTCGTGTAAATATAGAAGTTCTAAGATCACGTTCTTGTAATACACTGGACAGTTATGAAATAATGTATTCCTGTAAACCGATTGTAACTTCGGCTTAACTTCCTTCAATGAATGTCCCCGTAATAATTCCTCGGAAGATACACAAGGACTAAAATTACAATTAGCCGTTACTTTCTGTTTTACAAGCGCAGTCGGCGAGTCCAATCTCTACAGAAGTCGTTAACGATGTTCCAGACTATGAGGAAACTTTTTTCCTCGCAGCTGCGAGCGGCTGCGATTCCGTCCCTTTAAATTTCAGGGTTGAATAGATAATTTGTTCGGTGGAAATTGCAGAAAGTTGCGATTCATCAGGGGAACGTTTTCTAATATTTTCTACGGGAGTGGCGTATTTTAAACGGATTAAATCGCTTCAAGTGCTACGGGCTTCAATGGGAAATAATCCTATTCGCGAGACATCGCATTTCGATTTCGAGTATCCAACATTTTTCCCTTTGCGAAATAGTGACGATTTAAACATCCCTATTACGATGCATCAACGTCGGACGAGTACCGAATTAGTATCAAATATTTCAGTGACGACAGCATTTAAATTCGATACTTAAATAAATCGAAGAAAATAACAACGAGAGAAAAGACTCGCAAATTACACCGTTTATTCTGAAAGTGGCTGAAATACGTTTAAGAAAGAACCAATTAAAAGTAAAGAGACAACGTAAAATTATGAAATGACTCGAAGAAACCATTTTCCATAGTAACGTCGTTTCCCGAATGGTATTGTTGAACATCGAAATTTCACTGTCAAAATAAACGGGCAAATTAATACACAACAGAAGGGAACTCACCTTGAGTTGATGTTGCGGTCGCCTGAGCGCGCCTTGGTCCCGTCGTCCGCCCAGTCGATCGGCATCCGCTTCCAATCCCTCCATCGAGGACTCGGCTTCGCTCAACCAAGCCAAGAAGTTGTCCAGGGACCGGTCGAAGTTGTGGAGGGAGTTCATCGCGGAGTGCAGCAGTTTTCCTCGATTGATAATGCTAGGAAAGATTCGATACAGAGCGTTGTATACCCGAGAAACACGGGCGCGTTCGATTGAAATTCAAGATTGCGTTCTGACTGACCAAGCATTATACTCTTCGCGGAAAACCGGGCCGAAACGAGAACACAAAACGCGAAATACGTCTTATTTCCTGATTCCCTTCGATCCTCTATAAAACGATCCTACATAAGCAGAGAATTCGATGAACGTATTTCTTTCGCTATAGACTTCGTTCGCTTGGTAATTATACGGGAACTCGATGAAATTTCCAGAATGTTTATAATTCCATGCCCCTGTTTCCATGAAGCAACGTATTCTGATTTCTACGTTCGAATATTCTATATGCAGCGATTCCACAGTAAATTTACAGGATTTACATTAAAACGTCCCGATCGGGTTTCATAAAATATGCGTGTTTCGAGCCTTCGAAATAATATTCACCAATTTCCATTAAACCCGTCATTTTCGAATTTCCATCGATCCAGAACACTCTACATCAGCCCGCCGTCGCGCGTTTTCAATCGTATAAATAATATCGCGCGACCGTCATTCGGTTCGGGTATTTTCATTATTCTCGCCGGAGGAATGACGAATGGAACGATAGAGGAATTCTCCTCCGGAACCGCAGCGTACCTGGTGTTGAGGTTGTTGTATCGCTGATTGATGGTCTCCGTCATCTTTTTCACGCGGGTCGTGTCGTCCTGCTGATAAACGGCGATCAGCTTCTGCGTGAGCTGATTGAACAGTTCGATCTGCCGCTTGTACTGGTGCAGCTCCGCGTGGAACGACTAGAAGAACGAGAACAGGGCGAAACGAAATGAAAGGGGGAATAGAAGGCCGGCGTAACGGAGGGAACTTATCTGCGCCCGACACGGTATCTAAGTCAGAAGTCGCGAGCCATAACTCAACGAAGTTAAAATCTCGAGTCTCGAAGGGACAGCGCGAAGTTTTATGCCCCGATATTCGCGGGGGAAACTTTTATTCGACCGCGAAACGAACGACTCGCGTCGATAAAAATTATCATCCGAACGAACCTCCAACGATATACGGAGAATTCCCGCAGGAAACGCTGTAAGTGCCGAAATGAAAAAACTTTGTTTTATTCTTATCCTGTCGGAAACGTTGTAAATGGCACAATTGAAAAATTTGATTTTTCCTAACCCTATGTTATAAAAAACGCTGTAAGTGCCCAAAAGAAAAAAACTTTCTTATATTCTTATCTTGTAGGAGATGGTACAATTGAAAAATTTGATTTTGCTTAACCTTATCTTATAGAAACCACTGTAAGTGTTGAAATGAAAAAACTCTGTTTTATTCTTATCCTGTAGGAAACGTTGTAAATGGTACAATTGAAAAATTCGATTTTTCTTAACCTTATCTTGTAGAAAACGCTGTAAGTACCGAAATGAAATACTTTCTTATATTCTTATCCTGCAGGAAACGTTGTAAATGGCATAATTGAAGAATTTGCTTTTTCCTAATCTTATCTCGTAGAAACCACTGTAAGTGGCAAAACTGAAAATTTTTCCGTTGTTATTTTGGAACATAAAATTCAGGTGGCATTTTTCCTTCGTAAGTAATCATCGATAACAATAAACATCTATGATATTAATATTCGGAGATGAAATCATAATGATATAACGTTCTACGTTATGCTATGTAACTTTCTTGTTCCTACTAAAAAACATGATACTGCCACTTGTAATATCTCCAAGAGGTACTCTTCGTATTATCCTTTCGTTGACGAGCCAATTACATCGCGCCAATGCGAATAAAGGATAACAGGAAAGGTTACATCGAAACGAACGGTGCCTCCCGAATGCGCCGCGCGGAATAAACGGAACGAAAACACGGTAGGCTATTTTCATGAATGAAAATAAAGAGCGGGAGGTCGCGGCGCGCGTTTAAAATGAACCGTAGACGTGACATTTTGAGTAGCGTTGTCTGGCTTCGGAATAAAACAAATTGAACGCTGCTTAAAATTAATGAGGGCGGCGCGCATCGGAACGGGCGTGTCGCGCGGTTGCGGCTAGAGCGCCGACATTATTCGCTCATAGCTCGGCATGAATATGCAGCTCGCGACGGAATAAACAAATTAAAGCGTTATCAAATTTCATTAACTTCCATTTGTAACAATGAAGTCTTTCACGGCGAAAATCCAATTCCATTCGAGCTTCCAGCGAACTAAATTCGTAAACAGCGCAAAGAATGAAGAATACAAAACCGGACAACGGAACTTTCGAAAACACATTCCCCCGCGCACAAGCATTCCGCATTTCAAAGAGAAATTTCAAATTCCCCGGAATAAAGGCAATCAATCAATCAATCATTCCCTTCGCTTCTGCCCTCTCAACTTCGTTCCAAAGAGAATTCCTGAAAAGAGCGGATCCTGCCGCTTAATTTGCAACCGTTCGACGCGCACGCGGATCCGACGAGATCTCGCCAATCGTTCGGCGGAGATGATCGGGACTATTTAATGCAACAAACTACCGGCTCCATGAATATTGTAATGCACGGGCCGCGGTAAAAAATATCCGGCCGGTTGATGGCTCTATCGTGGTTCGACCGGGAAAAGACAACATTCGAGGATCACTGTGAGAATCAGGGGGGGAGGCAACGGTGGCTGGATCCCGAAGATACAGCGGTACCGACGGAAATAAATTATTCCATGAATATCTCATTCGGCTCTTTTGAATGTAAACAGAGCTCCGCCCGCGTGATGTACTACACCGAGTCGCGATCTCCCGTTGATTGGGACTTCGGCCGTTTCTATGGCCCTCTTCTAGCCAGCGATCTCTCTCTATCTCTCTCTCTCTCTTTCTCGCTCTGTCTCGACGTTATTCGCGACGCACAAAGCGGCAGCGAAACGTTTCTAAATAAAAAAGGAGGTTAGTGGCTGGCGAATGAATACCGATCTGCTCGTCCCCTTTAATCTCGGCTGCAGCTGTAACGAACTGCTATCTACGGTCATTATATTCGCCGACGTTGCCCGCGCTCGTATTTATTCTCGCCGACAGAACGGTAAGAGAGCACTGAATTACACGGGAACTTCATTCTCCTGTTTCTGTAATTGACTAGTTAAAATTGGATTACGAGATTCGCTCGGACGAGCGTCGGATCGGAGATTCCTGGGCATCGAGGGTGAACGTTCGACTGCTCGATCTTTAATCGTTTCGTGTGCGACGAAGTAATGATGCGTTTCCTTGTTTTTCTGGGTGATTGGTTGAAGTTAGATTGTGGGAATTATACTCGGGTGAGTGTTGGTGAAGAGATCTTTTCGCTGTTTCGTGAATCTTTTGAAACGTTGAAAGACTTAATAAAGTACTGGAATAGATTCATTTTCCAGGGAATGAGAAATTATTGCCAGCTGAATGGAATGACAGGGATAATTGCTCGGCTCAACGATGATTGGTGGCGGAAGAATGTTGTGTACTATGAAACCCAGGTGCCCAGTAAGGAAAATGAGCGAACATTAAGGCTGGGGGGTTCCAGGTAAGGTAACCACTGACGAGGGATCTTTTTGCGAATGGGGATACTTGGAATAACTTCTCTGGTTGGCCTCCAAGAAACTCTTAAATAACTTCGTATTATTTTTGATAGTCCACCGTTGAGTCTAGTAATAAATGAACAAAGGCAATCTAATGGCATCGTTCATTCAGAAACGAATCAGAGTAATGAACAGATCGAAAAATAAGATAAAATACTTGATCTCGACGAATGAAACAATTTCGTACGAGGCCTCGCATCAAAGCATTCTAACTTTCAAGGGCTAGATACTATAGAACTCTCTTCATTTTAAGCATACGTATGAAAATCAGAGTTTCCTTCTAAAAGCGGGATGCGGTTTAATCTAGATTACGACTAGGAAGTACAGTCGAATGAGAGGCGCGCGCAGTCACAATGAACGAGACGCTCGTTGAATATGGATAACACGTGTGATGAAGTCCGCAGGAAATACGAAATAAGTTATTGCGCGTGGACGGTGCGGTTCGGCCGGCACTCTCGCCGGAAAGTAAAGACGAAAGAAAGAGGAGTAAATTGCGGGAACGAAAGCGCGGATTACAGAGTTTGGAGGAAGTTAGAAGTAGAGAACAGACTGCAGAAATTAGAGAGCAGTCCGCGGGAACGATAGGGTGGACTGCGGAGTACAGGGGAGGCGAGGAGTAAAGAACAGCCAGCAGAAATTAAGGAGTACATTGCAGAAGCGGGAAGATAGATTACAAACACTAAAGTGAATCGAAACTGAGGAACACGGCGCAGCAAGAGAAACGAGAGCGGAAACTGCAGGGCGAATTCCAAGTGAAAAAATAACTCGCAGAAACTGAAAGTAGGTGTTGCGTGATGTAAACTATACAGCCGCGGACAGGCCGAAAAACAGACAGTGCCGTCTATGTGTGCAGTACTCAAAGGACAATCGCGAATACAGAAATAAGCGAAGGCCGACGATAGGAAACAAAGTCGACAAAAACCTAACGCGAATGTTATCGAACAAAAGGGGTGTACAATGTGAAATACAGCCGTTCCTCCATTTACGCGGGATAATCGTTCCACGTGGATTCATTTTTCGCGAATGGAAATCATATAAATAGTCCATCGGCACAAAAGAAAACGAAACATTGGACAGCGAAGCCGGTATACGTTTTAACAACTAGATTTACGTTTATTCTAAACTTTATTCTATTGTTTCCAGAAAACTACGTGTTCGTCTATATAAATCGCGAGAATTATAACTTCAAAACCAGACTATCGCAATGCGTATTCGCATAGTTGCACGAATTAAAATCGACTCAAACTGATACTAAATAAATGATTAACCCTCTTGGACGAAGATTCTTTGAAATATACAAGACCTTCGGCAGATAAAGCTGAATTATACATGAAATACCTAATTAATATGAAAAAAGGAAACGCGACGATCTCTGGCTGTTCGAGCAACTAAATCATTTGTCTGCAACTCAGTCTTCCAAATATGAAAATTTCATCTCTCCGAAATGTCGACAGTCGTCCGCAAAGGGTGGAAAAACGCGATGTCCGTCAAATTGACGGGTTCCGTAAATCTAGCGTTAAAGGTACATACTCGCGTCGCTCGAAGTGATAACAACAACGACGTTCCAGGAAACAAAAGTAAATTACATTCGCTGTCGCTAAATTCGTGTAAGTAAATAAGAAGCTCGTGCGTGTGAACGCGCATCAAGGAATAAAGGGTTGTAAAACTATAAACGAATTCGAAATGGAGGAGAATGAAAAGCGTAGGATAACAGATATCCGCGACACACGGGGATGAGAGTACACTGAGAAATAGTTTCGCGGGGAAACTATCGGGCGCATCAGGTTTCATTGATAAGAACGATCGCTTAAGGGCACGAGAGGGAGGGAAACGTACGGCCGCACTCCGGCGAACGGGCGGACGCGCGAGGAAATAAAGGCCAGATAAAAATGGCGACCTCTGGCTCCGGTTGATGCGCGCGGGTTAATGCGGGGGGTAGTTCGGGGCGAAAGAATGGCGGAAAATTCCAGCGTACCTTTTGTTCTCGGAGCTGCGCCTCGAGAACGTCGGCGGTGTGCCCCACAGCCTGCATTTTCTCCAGCCGGGTTTCCATTCGCGCGAGCCATACCTCCACCTCGTTCCTCTTCGCCTCGTATCGCTGGCTGTCCCCGAGCATCGCGTCCAACTGCGTCTTCCTCTGCATCACTTTCGAGTTCGTCTCGTCCCAGTGTTCCCTCAGCTTCGTAACTGCAACAATAATCGGGGAAACGCGCTATAGAATGTACCCTTCGCTGCTTCTTAACCACTTGCGCTGGAAATGAATTTAGAAATTTGACAAGTCTCCTGTGATGAACTTTGTTTTTATCTGTTTTACGCTGATATGTACAGTAATTTTGTTTGTTGATCGTTCTGCGTAGAGTGATACGTTTCGAAGTAATCTAATAGGCGTAATGCAACAAGATTATCAATGCGTGAAAGACATCATTGAAAATTTTGGGATAGAAACGTGCGTGGCACGTCCTGCGCAAGTGGTTAAAATAATTCATTTATTCTGAAACTGTCCACGGAGAACGCGACACTTTGTTGTTCCTTGCTTGGTAATGTTCTCTGATCGATTTAATTAGCATCTTTGAAGATGACTGGAATCTATTCTCTGTTAATAGAAGATATTTGCAGATTTTTGGGTGTTAGAGGACTGGGAAAAGTGTTGGGACAAATGGAAGCTTTGTTTTTAATTTTTGTTTTTAACTGCTAGGAGAGTTTTATTTTAGCTTCGATTAATATAGTTCATAAATTTGATTTAGTAATTTAGTAATGTGTATAGATTGCTCGTGATTTATGCAAAACTTGCATTATGGGATATCGGAGATTCGATCAATGAACTCGGAATTGAATACTTCAATTACTGAGAGAGCTACGGTTCTAAAGGGCAGGTTAGTTAGTTCTGATAAATCTTCAACTTAATGAAGCAATCGCAAGTTCACACAAAAATTCGGTGCTAGATGGGTTAATGTCATAAATTCTAATCGCAAAATCAACCGGGCGCATTCCTGGTATCTACAAAACCAAGTTCTAAGCTCTCTGAAGGATCTCCACTCGATATTCACTGCAAAGGCAAGAATTACGGCGCAGGCGACGCAGGATTTCGCTTTAAAGCGGTTCCATTAGATCCGCACCGTTGATCTATTCGCTCCGCGAACAAAACCGTTCGGGAACGGAACTTTCATTCCGCGAGCTCGATGACGCACAGTGGGACATTCGCTCGATCAAGCCGACCAAACGTCTATTTTACAAATTTTACCTAAATCCGACAAATTTTTGCTATTTGCGATACCTGAATGTACGAGGAACAATGCCCTACAAGCTTTTTTATGCTTGGAGCACTCGAAAAGTGTTGAGCTATCCCGAAAGTTAGTCATTTTTCGACTATGTGTTTTACTTTCCAAATTTCTGTATGTTTTGGAAAAATTGTACGAATTTTTCTTCTGTATCAGAGTTTTCCTGTAAGTATACACTCTACTTTTAGTAGCTCGTTACCTTTTTACCATGAATCATTATGTAAATATCGATATTTCAGTATAATTAACATATCATCGATATTTCATACACTTGTACAATTTCACGAACCATTTTGTCGATCAAGACACGTCCCGTCATTCTTCTTAGGATAATTATGTTTAATAAGGTTTTGAGATTATCTAAAAATAAAGTCCTCCGCAAAATCTTTTGAAAAGTCACTTTCTACGATCATTAAAGTTTAATACTTCGAAACAAATTTTATCTTATAAATTTACATCACCTCCAACTTCGGCAATTTTTTAACCGAAATATTGTGATCCCTCAATTTTGCAAACTAGTATACAGAATTTGCAGAAAATCAGTAAGTCAAACAATTATATATTATTTATGATGTATTATTATCTTTTATACGTATATATGAAATTTTATATAACACTGTAACAGTTTTCGTCGGTTTTGATTCGTGCAATTATACGAATACGCGTTGCAATACTCTGGTTTTGCTAGTTTTCAAGATTTATATAGACGAACACGTATTTTTCTAGGAACAATAGAACAAAGTGTAGAATGCACTGAAGATGTCGATAATCTGTATCAATAAATTCATTGTTACACGCCATGTAATTACATGTCATCCTACATTCTTACATTACATTCTCATATTTCCTCGTAAAAAGTCGATACGAGCCTGTCTTTAATTTTCGCCGCTCAGATCGGGCAAATACCCCACTGCGCGACGGTCAGAATTGGAGGCCGCATGAATAAGTAACGGACGGGGACTACAGAAGAATTATTCCAATTAACCGATCGTTTGACTTACTCCCCGAGCCCGCGGGGAGTTCCATTATTCAAGGGTGCCGCGGTGGAACGGAAATATTAAATAAAGCCCGGGGGGAATTATATAATCGGCGCGGTTTGTCCGATCAAACGGGCGAACGTTTCGATTCATCGATACCGTCCGAGCAGAAACTCGCTCCGTAAATATTCAAACGCGGCGCGGACGCGCAGCGGCGCTCGTTAATCATGCTGCGTTCTTCGGGTCTCCTTTGACCTGATCGTGTCTTCGTTTTCGTAGCACCGTTTTGTTCGCTTAATTTCCTTCTATTTAATTCGCTTCTCATTCTATGAGAATTACTTCGAACACTTCGAGCGCCGACAAATGGACCTCGTTTATATAAAATAAAGTCGTTTCTGTATTTTCATTTTATACACGTGAAACAGTGAAACTTTGTCAAATATATTGAATATACATTATACAACAAAATCGTCGAATTAACTGCGTTGTAACCGAAAAATTCTCGATCTTTCAATTCTTGTAATAATCGCGTAAAACATTCTAACTCAGTTCATTGCGAAGCTTCCACTTTCGCCTCCGATAACCGACTTTTCTCTAGAATGCTCGTTACTCGTATAATGTATGAAAAACTAAACACGCTTTTCCATTTTCAAAATGTTACATTCAAAAAGTGTTGAGTGCTCGCTGCAGTACACATCTGTTTTTACTTTTTCGATACTCCGTGTGTACGGACGAACCGAGAACCGCAGCGGAGTTAATCGCGCGCGAGCAACGCAGCGTCCGTACGGCACGTGTTCGTTGTTTCAAGAAGCACTTCTCGTGCGGGGCTAAAAACCACGTTGAAATTCGCGCCGGGCGCGAGGAACCGCCTGGAACCTGTCCAAACTGAAGTAGCTTAGCAGGACGAGGGGCGCAGCTGGTAAAGCGGGCGTAAAGCACTGGCAACGTTTCAACGGCGCGCCGGGCAACAACAAAATTCGCACGCGTGGACAGCACGCTCGAGTGTACCTTTGAGGATGCACTGCATGGACACGAAGTTCCGTGTCGCGGCGTCGAACAGGATCGAGGCTACAAACGGAAACAACGTTATTCAGAGCAATGTCTTCCCCCTGATCCCATTGGCCGGGTTCAGTGGAACTTCCACGAATCAAATTTGTTCGTGACACGCTTCTGAGAGAACCCTCGTGAACCTGTATCGATGAGCAGATCGTTAGACAGTGATTTTTAGAAATTTAGAACGCGGTTTGAGAAAATGCAATGGAAGAGAGGAGTGAAATTGATGGAGACGAAGTGGGTAGCAAAGATTTAACAGAAAGAGATTTAACCGTTCGCGAAGACTGTTTAACAAGTTAACTGTGGAATTTAGTTGGAAAAACCTCTCGTTCTGCGCGCAAGATCGAAAAATGGAGCGTGTACTCGTCGAACGAATGCGCGTAGAGTATATTTTAACCCTTTGCACTCGAAAGTATTTCGCTAGATATATTTAACATTTTCTAACTAGACAAAGACGATGTTTTTTTAAAGGAACTCAAAGAGAAATCACGAGTGAATTGAGAAACAGCTTTTTCATTCCAATATTTCACACACCGGCGCATTATACATAGTTCAGTATTAAATATCAAATTCTATAGTTTTACTGCATCAAATCAGGTGGTGAGAGTCACCCCTCGAGTGCAAAGGGTTAACGAAAGATCAAAGCGAAACAAAGAAGAATTACATGTTTATGTGGAAAAATAAAGAATTCGTCGCTGAAAGAATTAGTATCATGTCAAGCTTCACGATGACGTGTATACTCGTCAAACACAGTTAACTGGTTAACGCTTTGCATTTGGGAGGTGACTCTCTTGATTTGAAACAGTGAAACTGTAAAATCTGATATTTAACATTGAACTTCGTATAATACCTCGACAGGTGAAATACTGGAATAAAATAGCTTTGTTCCTCGACGTTCCTCTGATTTTCCTTCGAGTTAGTTTCAAGGAATATCGTCTTTGTCACGTCGAAATACGTTAAATATTTCTAGTGAGAAATTTCCGAACGCAAAGGGTTAAAGCACAGGAAACTTGGAACATATGAAGCTGAATTATACATCGACCGTTCAAACGACAGAAGAAAAGGAAACAACGCAAAGGATTAACCATGGGAAATGTCCAAAATCCAATCGAGGAAGAATGATTAAACTGAGAAAATGATTTTCAGTAAAAATTTCGAAAGGTGTCCAACAACTTCGGCAAAGACAGTGTTAACACGCTGAACACCGCACGATTTCATGGAGCAAACCACACAAAATGGAAAAAATACAATATTAAATCATTCGACTGAATTAGATTATCATTGCACGTTCGTCAAACTGTCACCGCGATGGGTAGCATTATTTACAATATAGAAATGTTTTCGAATACTCATCGTTTAATTGACTGAATTATAGTAATTCGATTTGCTTGGGGGTCACCGGTGACCCGATGGAATTCAACGTGTTAAATAGACGCCGGAGTAGTTTCAGACAGAGGTTCTGAAAGTTCTTTGTAACTAAGGGAAATGAGAACGTCCGACTGCGGAGACCTTGTGAAACGATGCAGAAACATCGAGGAAACAAAACTAACGAGACAGTGGATGCATTCCGGGATACAGGAGCTGCGAGCCTTCAGGATTGCCACTGATGTGTGTGTAATTGTCCCCATGGGGTCGAACCTCCCCGACATTGTCCCTCAGGTTCCGTGGTTATCTAGACGTCGATATTAGGTCTCAGGTCGCCGGTAATAGGTCCCAGAGCCCCAGTATTATCAGTGTCGTATCTCACAAGCTTTGGGATGTCTATTTGATCCGCAAATTAACCCACTCCGTTCGATAAGTTCGATAAGTAGTCCACTGCGCTTTCAATCATGCTGTACTTGCCGCGTATCGATCTTCCTCTCGACGACACATGCACATCCGATACGGTTACTTTGAAGTCTCTAAACGTTGCCTCTTTTTCAATGATCTCTGCTGGCTCATCTCTACCCTTAACTTTTCATTCGTCTTCCTACACTGTCTAATTGCTCTTCATTCTTTACTCTATATTTTCGAATCTCCGCTCTTAACTCTTTGCGGACGAATGTCGGCATTTTCCGATGAAACGTTCATGTTCGGAACACTGAGTTGCAAACGAACGATTGAATTGAAGCAAGAGATCGCCACTTGATTCGACGCAGTGAAACTATGAAATCTGATATCTAACGTTGAACTTCGTATGATGTCTGGATATGTGAAGTATTTGAATAAAATAGCTTTGTTCCTCGATGTGTTTGTTATTTCCTGTAGAGTGAGTTTCAAAGAATATCTTCGTCTCACCGAAGAGTGTTAAATATTTCTAGAAACTTCCAGTGCGAAGGGTTAATTATACGATCGTTATTGAAAACTCGGAAAGTCAGTTGTACGACTGAACTTAGAAAATAATGTTAAGTGAAAGTTTCGAAAGATATCCTTCGATAGAAACAGTGCGAACAGTTGTAGGAACTCATATTTAAACACGAGAAAATTCGTGTTTTCATAACTGCAAATTTCTATTTAATATTTGAACGACTCAACGTCTCCCAGAAATGCGAGATATTATTAATTAGTAACTATCACAGTTTCGACAGAAATTTCTGCACGTTCGCCTCATAGAGAATTCGCGTAGTAAAATTATATAACTACACGCGTCCAGGAATTCCATTTAGCCTGCAAGCCTCTTCGAGTTTCTAAATCATCCGAGCTGTTCATTTTCGCCGGCATCATGATTGGCCCCGTAACAAACTACGGAATCTGTCGTCGGTGAATGGCAACGATCCGATTGGACGTCTATTCGGCGCGGCGCAATCGAGGCTAGATTACACAGCAATTTTCGTTAATGACGGTAATGATTCGTTTGTCTATGCGGCGGCAGCGCAGAAACAACCGCGTGAACTCCCGGGGTAATGCAAAGTTTAACGTGTCTCCACCGGTGGCATTGTACTAATATCTGCGAACTATATTCCCTGGAAACGAGAGCGCGTTCGGGGATTGGGATATGTACGGGGACAATCAATTTTAGAGAAGTTCCTGGTAATACGTTGATGTATGATACCGTGCGAAGTGTAAAATACGCTGGGACAATGGAAAGCGCGAATTGTAGAGCTCGCGGATTAAGCTCGCAAACAGTCGCGAACACTTTCTATATGATAAATTCTATATATTATATATTATAGCATAGCATATATATATATTAACATACTGATTACTATTGATCCCGATGGGAATAGACTCCTGTTCTCGCAGAGATTTTTCCAAATATAGAACGATGCGTTCGTTATACATATTCTATACGAAAATAATGATAAACATGAAAGCAAGTAATTGTTACATGGTAACAGCTTGTATTATATCAAATTCTATATTTTTCTATAAGAGAATATAATCGAACAGATTTATCCATAGACTATTCTGATTGATACATTTGTTAAAAAATATCATTTCTTAACATTTAACATTGTACCGTTACTATTAATATATTTTAGATCTTTTCATATTAGGACTTGTCTGCTTTATTCTGCTTTAGTCTGATTTATTTGCTTTACTCCAAAACGAAACAACATATTTGAATGCCGTAAAAAGTATTTTATGACAAACATATCAATAGCTATACTCTTGCCTGGTAGCATATGATATGTAGTAATAGTAATAACAAAGTGTACTGTATATCACGTAATAATTATAATATCAAAGTTTACTATATAACATGTAATAATGGTAATATCGCTGACTAAAGAACTAAACTTAGTCCACTAGATCTAGCCGCTAGATTTTTCTTGTCAAGTAATCTTCCCTTAGCAATTAATTAAACCTACCCAAGCTCATTATTTTCAGGATCATTAACATTCATTACTACCCCATTTCCCGTATTTATAAAAGCTCAACTGTACCAATACAGACACTGTCCCACGTAAAGTGTTTAGCAGCAACTATCTATTCGCTATTACACTAAATTACTGAACGCGTTGTCCGTGTTTCCATATTTTATTAAATACATATATTTATTCCTAGCTCCCGATTACTCAAGATCCAACCTTTCATTATTTATTCTATAGTAACACTACACTATCGGTATTTATATAAATATTCCATTTACAAACGCTGAACGTCTAACGCGAGAAATGCATATTTTTCGCGAAGAATTTGAATAACTCCCAAATGAAACAGAGGCTACGCCGGGCGTTATGTAAAATCACAGTTTATACAATTTTCGACATACATCCCGCAAATGTCCGAAGTTGTATATTTCCATAAATATGCGCGAACTATCCAGAACAGTTCCGAGTTGCTAGAGCCATTCCGAGCAATCGTAACGCGCACTGAAACGGTCGGTCTGGCGTTGCCTAAACATCGGCAGCATAAGTCACTGCGAATCGCGGTCGATTTAACGCCGGCGAGGGGGATGCATCAGCCCAGCTAATTTCCTCGAAGACGCGGAGAGGAAAAATTACGGTTGGGGTGCGTTCACACGTAACCGGAAGCATATGCTACGCTCCCGGACTGATATAATCCGACAAGCCACGCATGGCAAGCTAATGCTTGGAACCGAAGTACAGTCGTTGTCAAGACACGGCGGGGTCGTAAAACCGCCCGGGCGTTAAAATTAGCATGTCGCAAGTAACAAGGCAAACAAACTGACAAACATATGACCCCACTGGGACTTGGAACTGCGATGAACACATTTGATATGATCCGAAACCTTGTTACATCATATTATGCCAGTGACTTTGAAAATTTTAGGTTCTACCTAAACGAAACCCTGGAAACTCAGGAAACATTGTGTGTAATTTTATTCCGTAACTATATCATGATATTAACTTTTTACACTCGAGAGATGACTCTCAGTCTCAGTTTAATATTGAACCATATATAATGCATCAATGCGTGTAATATTGGGGTAAACAAGCTTCGTTTCTCAATTTACTTGTGACATCTCTTTGGGTTTTAAAAAATATCATCCTTGTCTAGTTAGAAAATGTTAAATATTTCTAACGAAATACTTCCGAGCGCAAAGGGTTAATCAGTATCTTAGTGTACAA